TTATCCCATTCCATTGAGGTTCTTGGCGGTGGCGTAGTTTGCCGTGGAATCTGGATCGCCTGGGGATGTCCTGATCCCTCTCCGGTATCCTGGAGAGTGGCTTTGGGTGTCTTTCGGGCGACGGGTGTATCTCTGGAAGCCACCTTTCGGATTCCGGGGGTGGTGGCTGAAGGAGGTATGCTTTGTGGCAGATATCTGGCCACCCTCTCTTTTGTCCACCGAGGTAGCTCGGCAGATGTGAGGTTGCTATCCCAGATTGCTAGTTTACTGGCATGATGGGTAGGGTATGGCACGGGTTCCATGCTGCATCTACGCTACTTGCAGTGCTGAGGTCCTCTTGGGTGCGGAGGGAGATTTCTGGCCCTTTCATTCCTCCTAGGAACTATCCCTCCCCAGTCCCCCCTTTTTTTATTCTTTTTTTTATTTTTATTTTCTTCCTTTTTTTTTCTTAAAAACAAAAAGAAAGAAGTAACCTAACCATGGCAGCCCTAGTCCATGAACCTGATTCCCCCGGGCCCCTTCTTGATACCGCACCCCATTCTGACCCCGCCTCGTCTTTGGACCACTCTTCGGACACTCCTCATGCCTCTGTACCTCTTGCCGGTGCTGTTTCCTCACCCGCTTCAGGTACTTAGGTCTCGACTGACTCCTTTGATTTATCTGACCTCCGCTTTCCTTTGACTATGCTTCCGGCCTCTCCCTCTACTGTGCGGCAATTTTCGAATCGCCAGCCCATTCTGCATCGGACCAATTCTGGTCCCACGCCTAAACACCAACGACAGTTACCTGCTGATGATACTTCTCCACCTTCTCGTTCTTCTCAGAAAAGATCAACACGTCCTGCACTCCCTTTCCACGCTCAGTTTCAGACTGCACAATGAACTAAATTCTTCACTTTACCGCCAACTTCCTCTACCGCCTATCTTTCTGACCACAGTATTGGCAAGGCACTCCTACACCATGTTGGTAAAGATATTTCTTTTCATGCTCTTAAGAGTGGACTCACACTCTCTCTTGCATCGATCTCTCAGTCTGCTCTTCCTCCTCCGCATTAGACTTCACTTGGTCTGTTTTTCCGGACGTACATGACTACGATCATTTCCCAATCATTCTTACTTCCCCTTCATATTCACCACCTCTTCGCATCCCACGCTGGCAATTTGATCAGGCAAATTGGAACCTTTACTCACACCTAACTGTTTTTAGAGAGGTTCCTTCTTCATCCTCCATTGATGAGCTTTTACACCTCTTCTCGTCCTCCGTTTTAACCGCCGCTTCTAATTGTATACCCCAAACTTCGGGCAGGCATTCTCAGAAATGCGTGCCTTGGTGGTCTCCTGCTTGTGCTCGTGCAGTACATTTGAAACGCGCTGCATGGGGCAGGTACCGGTACAATAGAACCACGGAGAGACTTCTTGATTTTAAGCAGAAGCGTGCAATCGCTCGCCGTGTCATCCGTGATGCTAAACGCACTTGCTGGCGAGATTATGTCTCCACCATCACCTCTGCTTCCTCTATGAGTGTAGTCTGGAAAAAAGTACGAAAACTGAGTGGTAAATATTCTCCTGACCCGGCTCCTGTTCTGCGCGTTGCCGGTGTTGATATAGCAAACCCACTAGATGTTGCCAATGAAATTGGCAATCATCTGGTCCGTATTTCTCAGGGACTCCATCTATGCCCCTCGTTTCTTTCCTCAAAGTCTGCCAGAGAGTTAGCACCCTTGGACTTTTCTTCTCTCAGAGAAGAACAGTATAATGTGCCTTTTACACTTCAAGAACTGGAGGCAACACTCTCAGCTTGCCGATCATCGGCAGCTGGGCCCGACGACATTCACATTCGTATGCTACAACATTTACATCAGTCAGCCCTTGCAGTCCTATTACGCCTTTACAATCTTATTTGGTCACAAGGAGTTCTTCCACAGCTGTGGAAGTCTGCCATTGTTCTCCCTTTCCACAAACCAGGCACTACGGGACATGAAGCCTCCCACTATCGTCCCATTGCTCTTAACAGTGCAGTTTGCAAAGTGATGGAACGCCTGGTAAATAGACGTTTAGTGTGGTATTTAGAGACACTCAACAGTCTCTCCACTCGTCAATATGGCTTTTGTAAGGGCCGTTCTACCATAGACCCCTTACTATGCTTGGATATGTATGTTCGTAATGCCTTTGCGAATAACCACTCAGTTATTGCCGTATTTTTTTGACCTTGTGAAGGCATATGACACAACTTGGAGGTATAATATTTTGGCCCAAGCCCACTCCTTAGGCCTTCGAGGCAATCTACCATCCTTCCTTAAGAACTTTTGTAACTGACAGGCATTTCCGTGTTCGGGTTAATAATGTGCTCTCCCAGGACTTCATCCAAGCTGAAGGTGTCCCCCAGGGATGTGTTCTGAGCACAACACTTTTTCTCCTTGTTATTAATGATTTGGCCTCTAGTCTTCCATCACATATTTGGTCATCACTCTGTTGATGACTTCGCTATTGCCTGTGCAGGCGCTGACTGTCACCTCATTACAGTTTCTCTCCAGCATGCGGTCGACGTGTTTCCAATTGGGCCACCGCACATGGGTTTAAATTTTCCAGCACTAAAACCCACCAAATTACTTTCACTAGACGCTCTGTCATCTCCGATCATCCTTTGTACCTCTATGGCTCCTGTATCCCTGAACGTGATAGTTAAGTTTCTGGGCCTCCTCTTTGACCGTAGGTTATCATGGAAACCTCACATTACCTCTCTGAAGGCAACTTGTCACAGCCGGCTGAACCTTCTTAAAACCCTTGCTCATCTTTCATGGGGAGCTGATCGTCGAACCCTCCTACATTCCAACCTCATTTTATCGAAACTTGATTATGGTGACCAGATCTATTCAGCGGCATCTCCTGCTACTCTCTCTAGCCTTAACCCCATTTATCACCAAGGATTATGTTTATGCCTTGGTGCTTTTCGCTCTTCCCCTGTCGAGAGCCTCTATGCAGAAGCGAACATTCCATCCTTATCCGATCGCCATGATGCCCATTGCCTTCGCTACTATGTACGCTCTCATGATCTCCGCAATCCTTCCATTTATAGAATGGTCACTGATATTAGTAGACATTCTTTATTTGTTCGCTGCCCCTGTTTACTCCGTCCCTTCTCTCTTCGCCTTCATTCGCTCTTGTCGTCTCTTCAGTTACCACCTTTCTATGTTCATGTAGCATCTCACTTTTCCCTACCCCCCTGGGAAGTTCCAGCTGTTCGAGTCTGTTCTTTCTCTCTCCCTTGCTCGAAAGCCCAACTGTCTACGGTCGCTTCCCGCTCTCTTTTTCTTGACCACTTCCATTCTCATTCTCATGCCATTGCTGTGTACACAGATGGCTCTAAGTCTTCTGATGGCGTAGGATTCGCAGCAGTGTTTCTGGACAGCGTCGTACGAGGGCATTTACTATCTTCGGCTAGTATTTTTATTGCTGAATTGTATGTCATCCTTGCAGCACTTATCCGTATTGCATCTATGCCTGTGTCATCATTTGTGGTAGTCTCAGACTCCCTTAGTGCTTTACAGGCTATACAGAAATTTGATACACCTCACCCCTTAGTCCTCCGTATCCAACTTTGGCTACGCCGCATCTTTACCAAGCACGAAGATAGTTTTTTGCTGGGTCCCTGGTCATGTTGACGTACAGGGCAATGAACAGGCAGACACTGCTGCGCAGTCAGCAGTACATGACCTACCAGTTTCATATAGAGGTATTCCATTTACAGACTATTTTGCTGCAATATCTTTCCACCTTCACACCCGTTGGCAACAACGTTGGTCTACTATGCTCGGCAACAAACTTCAATCTATTAAACCGAGTATAGGTTACTGGCCGTCTTCTTATCACCAGTTCGAGGTTGGGAGACTACTCTCTCCCGTCTTCGCATTGGCCATACTCGTCTTACTCATGGATATCTCATGGAGAGGCGCCCTGCTCCTCTCTGTGAGAATTGCCATGCTCCATTATCAGTCAGCCACATTCTGTTGGACTGCCCACTTTATCAGCGAGCACGCAGAATTTACCTCCATCGTCGTCTTCGCTCCGCTGCTCTCTCTTTACCTTCCCTTCTCGCTGATGGATCCACCTTTCACCCGGACTCTCTCATTGACTTTTTGACAACAACTGACTTGCTTCACAAATTCTGATACCTTCAGCCCTTTCTACTTCAATCTCTTGCTACCCTCTACCCCGTACTATTCCCTGCCCCGCTGTTTTCTGTAACCTACTGATCATCCCTCCTCCCTTCTGCCACCCAATACCCTCGCTTCCTTCCCTACCCTGCAGTGCTTTATAGCCCTTGTAGCTTAGCTCTTCTTTTTGATTATAATAATAATAATTTGGTTTCACCACTTTCTGTCTTGGAAGTAAAAGCTAGTAAGTGACTCACGAAATCGTAATGACACAATTGTAGACAAACCATACCACGGGTGGGGTTAGAACCCTTTCCTATGGTGTAGAAATATACCTAGTTGGATGAATCTTGTTGAAGCTAGCTGGCCCAGTGGCTAACGCGACGGTCTGGAGTTTTGAGACACACTGATCGCGGGTTCTAACCCCACCCGTGGTATGGTTTGGCTAGTAAGACAGTTTCCTTGTGGGAATAATAATAATAATATTATTATTATTATTATTTCTACAAGTACATGATACAACTTATACAGACCATAGCATTTTCTGCAACTTAGGTTAATTTTGTCCCCAGGATGTGACCTCACACAAGTCTGCTGACACCTAGGTACCTACTTACTGCTAGGTGAACAGTGACAGCAGGTGTCCTAATGTTTCCACCCGTACTGGGGATCGAACCACGGACCTCAGTGTGTGAGCTGAGTACCGAGCTACGGAACACCCGTTAATCGCTATAAATTTGTTAGCTGTTTCAGGTGGTGACCAATACTTATATTTCAGGTGATGACTAACACTTATGTCGCAGGTCAGTTGTGTTGCAGGTGATGACTAAGGTTTGTTGCGTTTCAGGTGGCGGTGCGGGTTCGTCCCCTCACCAGTGAGGAGAGAAACAAAGGTTGCTACCGCATCATTCAAGCCATCGATACCAAGGTGAGGCTCCAGTCTTTACTACACTGCCATACATAACCTTTGAAGTAATCTATCAACACTGTTTCCTTACACACACACACTCTCACACCCATTCACTCACTCGCACTTTTCTCATCATGCACACCTTTCCCTTTACTCACCTTTCCTCACACATATTCTTGAAGTGGGGGGGGGGGCGGTCGGCCCTGCAGACTAGCAGAAAGTTTTACAAGGTGCAGCAGGACTTGCGTATTTGTTACTCCTCATTGAAGAGGAATCATCTTAAAACTAATCTGTCGACTGAGGATCGAGCACATACCCCTCACTAGGTAGGTGGTGCTCCTGTCCCTTTTGTGTAGCTTTTGATGTACAGTGAAACATAGTTTAACAATTTGGCCACGACTCTGGCCTTTCTTACTTCATAGTTTTCATAATTACCGAGGTGCCTGCAGGGACCTCGAGGAACATTTAGAAGAGCATTTTAACATTAGTAAAGGTTTCAGTTGATGTGGGTTATTATAACTTGGTATGATATTATTTATGTTAATTGCTTATGTTCCTTGTTTTTGTTATTTTGATGTATTTTTATTGCATATAAATTTTTGTGGCTGTAAGCAGTGAATGACTTTCATGTTCAGTGTTCAGTTTATATCACAACTACTAACACTACTACTACTAGTACACCGCTTCCTCTTTTCTGTAGTTTCGCGCTCTATCGCCCAGCTGGGTTTAGCGGTTTTTTTAAGTGAGAAAGATGCAGAAATAGTAAGTAAATTCTTTGAAGGAAACGTTTCGCCGTTCATTGACTTTATCAGTCTGGGTTGATAGTTTCTATGGCGAAACTTTTACCTAAATGAAAGGTCCTGGTCAAGGACTGGTCGGGGGGGGGGCGTTGACCCCCGGAACACCCTCCAGGTAGGTAGATCAGGTGTGTTTCTTACATGTTAATGACCAGTTGTAACCTTCGTTGACACACGAATAAGTAAACCATGGTTTACTTATAATATGAGGGGGGGGGGATTACAAGAATATAGACTTACAAGACTCCTTGTACACATCAAAGCTGTTTAACATCGACACGATGTTGGATAAGAGACGTGTGCAACATCTGGGTATCTTTTGATAAAGGTTTCGCCAGCACACAGGCTTTACCAACCTGTGCCTTCTGCACAGTCGACTCTCGAGTGTTCCAACATGTTGAACATTCACACTCCCACGTAGAAACAAACGAATATATACAGATCAAGATCGCAGTCAGCAGGACTCGAAACCACGTCAGGGGAGACTGACAAGGTTCCCCAAGTGACGCTCTAGACTATTCTGCCACAGTTAAGCGGCCTTGTTTACAAGCCATGTTTCTCTCCCTGCTCCAGGAGCAGGGAGAGAAAAATGTTGCTTGACACTGACAGGTGTGGCACTCAAGGTATGTAGTCTGTACCCTGACTGCCCGGTAGTGAGGTTGGGTAATGTGTCACACATGATTGGTGGCACTATTGACACTCAATAGAATTTAAAATCACAAACGTGGACTCAAAATTGCTCATCAGATGATATAAATAAATGGTTTGGAAAAAGTTGATAAATGAGACTCGTGCAACGTTTCGGTAACTATTTTTGAAACGTTTCGCCTGTCCAGTGACTTCTTCATTACTGACCTAAATGTTACAAAGAGTATCTTATTTATCTTCAAATGAATAATGAGTCCTAAACATAATTTTTAAACGGGTGTAGTAGTAAGCCAGTGGAAGGCCTCGGTCAGATGACCAAAAGCTCCAGCTGTGGGTCATGTGACTGAGACCCGTGTCAGGAAACACCTGTAGTGTTTCCTGATAAACACAGATGGCGCTAGTCTGTGTTACCTAAATAATCTTTTCCAGGATTTCATTGAAAGGTTTGGTAAATGTTAAGAGTTTCTGTTACTACAAACGCGTACCTCGATGTCACCTTACAACCGAAAGATCCGAGATCAATCCCGGGGAGGTTGGAGGTAGGTGTTGGGCAAGTTCTTGCGTCTTTAGTCCTTGTTCGCCTAGCAGTGAATGGGTACCTAGGTGTAAGGTGGGGTGGTAGGTGGCATCCTGGGGGAGGGAGGAGGGGAGATGAGGTAGCATTCCATCGATACGGCTGAGATTTGTATGAGCTGAGGTGGAATAATAGCTCTTAGTTGTCCAGTCTGGACACTGGCTGTTGTCAAAGTCTGGACACGTCCGTCAGTCACTCTTGCAGATTAATGTAAATCCTTTTTTATTATTATTATTATTATTGTTATTAGTGTTAAGTTCGTAGCTGAGGTCTGTGAAGCTAAACTAAGTTTTCAGGCTATATTGTCTCAATATTACAATGTTGTCCAACCATTTAATATTGTCCACACTGAGGTTAATATTGTCTACACTGTCGCTAGTATTGTCCACCCTGAGGTCAGTATTGTCCACCCTGAGGTCAGTATTGTCCATCCTGGGGTCAGTATTGACCACACTGCAGTCAGTATTGACCACACTAACATCAATAATGACCAGAATGACATCAATAAGTCTTAAACTACTACTATGTCGTCTTCAAGGCTGGTAGTACTGACCAAACAAGAATGCTGATTGTGATATTCACATCAATAAAGCATTACCGTAGCCACAGTAGTATAATGTAGTCTACAGATTGATCACTACAGAGTTACTTCTACAGTTATATTCGCCTGGGTTCAATTGAATACAAGCAGAATAAGGTACCTAGGTGTTGTAACCGTCTTGTTCGTCTACCTGACGGTATTGCACGAAGTAAATAGGGAACGGGTGGGATTTGAACCCACGGTGGTGAATGGTGAAACTCGCAAGTCAGTGCCATGGGGTCCCCACTTGTTCTGTGATTTATTTAGTGCCATAATGTAGCATGCCACAGGGATATGCTTGTGTATAAGTGGAGTTATGTACACACGTATGTTTAAGACAATATGCTGTTTTTGTTAACAGGAATACACTTGAACACTATGTAAGGGCTGCCCTGTGATGGTCACAACATGGTGCTTTAAAGATGTAAAATAAGTTTTAATTGGAGATAACTTTTTTTTCACTATGTAGAGCTTTAAGTTTTAGAGGTTACTCGATGCTGTTGCAAAGTTCCAACACTGTACTTTAGTCTGGGAGATCGTAGGTTCGAGCCTTTGAGTTACACTTACCTTTTACAGAGGTTACAGTTAGGATGCATGTACAGTCCATGAGGTGAGGTGGAGTAGTAGAGGTGAGCCAACTCTTGCAACCATTTCAAGATAGTTGCATGAGCAGGAATCACTCAAGTGTTAAAATCTAAGTTTATATGAGGTAGTGCAAGATTCCTAGGTCAGTAGTGTGTGTGTGTGTGTGTGGGGGGAGGGGACACTTGTATAAAGTTTAGGACATTTATTAAAGGAGAGATATCGGTACGAGTGGCTTCATCAACCTTAAGTAAAGCTACTGAATTCTACACAAGTGTCCTTCACAGTCTGTAGGTATCGCTGTACTATTTACAGTCAGTGGTGGGAGTAATGGAACAATGCAGCAGGTCTACTGGGCAGTGCTAGGTTTGAAATCTCTCCTGATTAACGTTTGGTAACTGTCCATGTAATATGTGGTAGAAGCTTGGGTTAACTAAGAGCACCTTTCTTTTCTTCATAGTCTCCTGGCCCTGTGCCCTTCCTTGACGGTGAGTCTGGCACCTTGCTCAGAGATCAGGTGTGAATGTTTGTCTCGTGGACGACACGAGCGTTAAGTACAGGTATGTTAATACTGACAGATTGTGGGAATAAGACACATGCACAATCAGTACACTAAATATTTCTATTGTGCATATGTCTTACTGTATTTCCACGACGTGCGATGATACTGAATTTTGCTAGAGAATTGGTTAAATGAGAGACCTGCATGCGAGGAAAACTTTGTCACGACGTTTAGCCTCGTGCGAAACTAAACTCAAGATAAACGTTATCGCAATAAAAACTTGCTCCGCAGATATCTTTTATTCTGTCATGTCGGCATCTTACCCTTATATCTAAGTATATTGGCGGTCTTGTATTCTGATGTTTAAGCTGCGTGAAGTCTTTGCTATGGCCCATCCATCACATTCATCACAAGGATTGATGCAAACTGACACTGGGGTTGTGAGTGGTGTGGACTGAGCTTATGGTAGCTTACATTGTTTTTGAGAGGGATAACTGCTGCATTAGTGCCATTTTTTTCGATGTCTGTATTGATATATCAGAAGTGTTTTCATGTGGGGAAGAATGAGATGTCTGTCTGAATATTCGACCTCTTTCAAAGTGGAAATTTTCTGGCTTGTCAGCAATCGTAGATGGTGTGAAATGCCACATTCCTCTTGTAGATGTTGGGGGCTGTATCTAAACTCTCGAAGAAACAGAATATTAACCTCTGTTTAGTTATCCCGTCGTAGTGAGAGAAAAAATGTTTAAGACGCAATACACAATTTATGACATTTTATTGAGGAAAGGTCTCGTCCACCAGGGACTCTTATTAATTCAGAGAAAAGCAGAGCTTGTGTATTGACATGTCGGTATATTCAACCATTTATTGAATAAACAGAGAAGTGTATAAGGTTCTTATTGTTTGATTTGCGGTAGAACTTTTCAAGTTGGTGTTCTTGTTTTATGATTTCGACGTGAAAGATTGGAGGGTGTTGTCCCATTCTTCTTCAACTGAAAACTGGACGAGTCGTCATTGTGTAAGTGTAATTACAAGGATATCAACGTAACACAACTATGTGATGGATGAAAGAATGATGCTGGAGAACAGTTCTGCTTTGAGGAATTCCATGCAAGTGATGGCTGAAACTGCAGTTATAGGTTATTCCATAACCATGCAGTACCTCTTGTAGTAAGAGTAAACTAAAAACTCGCTGAGATCTTTGAAGAATGGAGAAGGTATTGATAATTCGGTATCTTATGTTTCACAGCAGTATTGTGGCTTGGTGTGGAAAGTCACGTCACGTCGAGGCTGACCTATAGCTCTTTGTTGAAGAATTACACACATTTACAACAT